CACGTTGTAAGGTATATATATGGACACCAAGTTTCAGGTTGGTTCTAGCAGTCCTCAACTAGCATCGAAGGTTCTTTTACAGACTCCAGCCGAGCCCAGCACACTCGAAGTAAAACCAAGACCTCCTGTGGAGCCCAGGGAAACAAGGCTGTGTGCCGGTCACGCTCGTTCCCTGGGAAACCGCCTGCAGCAACACCTGGCGCCCAACCCCCAACACCTGGTAAGAGCCCTGCTTGGCGCCACGGGGCGCGGGAGCGCGCAGGCCCCTCGGGCCCGCTCCAGGCCCCGCTCACGGCGCAGGCGCAGTCCCACGCTCCCTCGGCGGCTCCCAGCGCAGTGCGCCCGCCGCGGCGGAGTGTAGCGGCGTCGGCCGGCTGTCCTTCGCTTCTCGCTGCTTGGGGGCGCGCTCTGTGCGGTTCTGTGAGCGCCCCTGAGCGCGGGGAGCGGCCGTCGTGGGTTCGTCAGGTGAGTGTGGCGGGAGGGAGAGGCCCGGGGCGAGGAGCACCGCCCCCCTTGGCGCCCGCCTCCCGCGAGCCGTCCTGGGGGGCAGCCATGGCAGGTGCAGCGGAGGGCGCGGCGGAGGGCGCGGCGTGCGGAGATCCGACCCGGATGCCCGGCCCGGTGAGCGCGCGCCCTCCCCTCGGCACACGGGCTCCGGGGCCCCAGTAAGTGGCGGCAGAGGCGCGGGGATCTGGGCACCCCCAGGGACCGCCGGTGGACGTCGGCGGCTCCTCCCCCGCTCCCCGGGCACGGGCGCGTTACTCATTAACTGCGCGGTCCCGAGCGCTGGAAGCCGGGAGCCCCAAGCCGGATTACCTGTAGGCGGGGCGTGCGCGGCTGGGGGCGCGGGGTTGCGGAGGGGCGTCTAATGAGAGTTCCGGAGCAAGTCTGGAGCTGGGCTCTGCGCCGGAGCTGGACCATGGTGAAGCAATAGGCGTGGACAGGGGTCTCAGTAAAAGACGTGAGAGGCACCAGCTCGAGGCGTAGAGGTCACTCTCGGGAGGTTTCGGTGAAACCTGGTGGGCAGGAGCTAGCGCCTTGGAGTCACGCCGTAGGAGGCAGCCCAGTTCAGTCTGACTTTTGTTTCGGGGAGTTGAGACGAGCTGCACAGACATCATTGTGATTACACTGCTCTATCAGCGATGACAACTCGCTCCTACCGCCGGGGGAAAAGCGAGCTTAATGGATTCTGGAAGTGATGATATTAGGTGGGAACTACAGCATGTGAAGAGTAGCCAGTTGTTAAGGGATTAAAAAAAAAAAAGATCTGTACTGGCTAAAGGGTAAGGTCTTGTAAATTGAGAGCGCTGAGTTAATACCAACTCTTAAGAGGCAGACAGTTTAGTTTCGAGGAAATACAGCATTTTCCAAGGCAACCTGTTTCACACTCTTGTGTTTCCCCCTTCAGCTCCTTCCATGTAATCTTTTTGCCTTGGAATGATTACATAATTGAAGGAGAGGCCGATAAGAGGGTTAAAGCAAAACTGTTCTATTGTAAATCTATTGAAAGACCCAGTTTCTGTTCATTATCCTCATTCTCATTTTTTGTTCATGCAGTTAAAAAAAAACAAAACGTGAATGACAAATCAAGGAGAAGAGGCAGAATAGATTTGTAGACCAGTCATCGTGAATATCTGGTGCTGTTAAATATTTCACCAGTTTTATGAGGCCTTGTTCTGTTAACATTTGTTATTTATTTACTAGTACTTTGCATTTTGATAGGACTTTTCATGTTTGGGTAGACATTGTCTCCGAAATATGGATTAGGTGATCTAATCCTAAAGCCTTTGTGGAATAGATAGAAAAAAACTTAGCAGTTATATAGAGTTTTACTACAATAGTGTATTTCTTACTATTAGAAGAAAATTCTTTTTTTTTTCTTTTTCCACTACCTTAGTGCATACCTTTGTGAATCAAAAGTGGATACATTTAATACAGCTCTTCTTTATGTGTTTGGCAATCAACTCATCTATGGTATTGAATATCTCTAACCTTTCACCCGGATGGGTATTTGATGTTCAGCTCCTTGTGGGGTTTGTAATTAGCAGGGTTTCTAATTAGATACAGTTGTACTTTTTGAATTAGTGTAGTTATGCATATTCTTCCTTTAATATTTTTTCTAATTTTCCCTAAACCTGAACCACCCCAACATACACATAGACACTCCACAAATATTTTTTAAAATTGTAAGTTTGTTAGAAATCTAGGGCCCCATCATTTTTTTTTGAAAAACTTTATTGGGGAACAGTGTGATTTTGGGGGGAACAATGTGTTTTTTCCAGGACCCATCACTTCCAAGTCAAGTTGTTGTCCGTCAGTCTTAGTTGTGGAGGGTGCAGCTCAGCTCCAAGTCCAGTCGCTGTTTCTTCAATCTAGTTGCGCCCCAAACCAGCAACCTTGTTGTTAAGAGCATGCGCTCTAACCAACTGAGCCACCCAGCTGCCCCCCACCATCATTTTTTAATATGGCAGAACAAAAACTTACAGGTTACAGTAGTTTTACCTATGTTATTGTGGTTAGTATTAACCTTCTTTCCTCCCATCCTGAGCAGGACTCATTGAATCAATTAGTAACCCGGCCAAATGAAAAATTATTAAATCTTAAAACAAATTTTTTTAAGTTTTAGTTCCCATTACTTACTGTGTATATGACCTTGAGTAAGTAATTTAATCTCCCTGAGTTTATTTTCTCTGTTTGTGAATGGATATAGTTTTAGATGGAACCATATGAATTTGCCAGTAGTCACCTGTTTTTCTTATGGTTTAACCTAATATTAACTTTATAATGGATGAAAGTTAATGAGATACTCCATATGAGATGTGAGAAGGTGGGGGAAAGGCACAAATATAACCTTGACACTGTACCAGACCCTTGCTCTTGCTTTAGGTACCTTGACTCCTTTAGTCCTTCGGGACATCCTGGGATACAGGCGGTATCGCATTTTACAATTTAGGAAGTTGAGGCTCAGAGAAGTGAAATAACTTGCCTGTGGTTACTTAGTTGCCGATGGTGATATAGCTGATTAATGGCAGAGCCAGGATTAAAAAGAGTGTGACTGCCCAAAATGGAACTCTTAAAGAGCTTACTTCTTCCATTCTGGTCTACAAACCTTCTGAAAGGTGTTATTACCATTTGTATTTCTGATTTTAAAAATATACAAGTTTTCTGATGATGGTGATACCACTGTCACTACTGCTATTGAATCGAGAGTTTACCATGTATCAGGTTCTGGTCTAAGCACTATAGGAATTTACCCTCCGAGTGACCTAGGAGTTCAGAAATCCCTAAGTCCATCCCTTTTTATAGTTGAGAAGATTGAGGAACTGAGAGAGGTAGCTTGCTCAAGATCATACAGCTCATTAAGTGACAGGACTAGATTAGTCAGGCAGTTTGTCTTAATGTCCATGCTCTTAACCATTACACTCCACTACTTCCACATGTGCAGGTTGTAGTGCTGAAGAATTGTTTTTAATTTAGCTTTTATGAGATACTTAATATTAGTGTAATAAATAATTCCTGATGTGTCACCAGAGATTTTTAAAATCAAATATTCATTGAGCCTCTGCTCTGCAAGTCACAGTGGGGATTAAAGGGAAGTATTCATAAGGAGTCTGGAAAGTAGGCCATATAATTATTCCCATAGCTTTTATAAGTTCCTCAAAATTTAGAAGGAACTGTGTGTGTGTGTGTGTGTGTGTGTGTGTGTGTGTGTGTGTGTGTCAGTGTCATTTTAATGCTTGCCAAATAAGACAAAATGTCAGAATAGTTGGATAGTAGGGAGGAAGAAAGGGTGAGCAGTGCGGTAGAGACATCTCTGTTGAGATAGTGGTGGAAGCTATCATACTAAACCTTTGTCCCATGTAGTTCTGGTTAAGATGGATTTCAACAAAGGGTAGTAAATTGGTTACTAAATTAATTACTTAAATGTACTTGATATCCCAATGATAAAATATCTGAGCTTTTGAAAACTTACTAAGTAGTTCCTCTTTTTCTATACTGATGTCCTTAGCTTTGTCAGGTAGTACGTTTATTTTGTGGAGGGTTTTCTTTTATGCTTCCAAAGCACCGAATACGTGCCTCTGTTTTGGTATGCATTTTGATATTTATGTTGTATTTATAATAATGTTTATAATAATGTTTAGTGTATGCAAGCTTTGAGGGCAGGGCTTAAGTCTCCATTTTATAGTTTTAGCATTGGGTTTGGAACTCAGTAGGTACTGTGCTGTGTTTGATGATGGATAGTCAGTGGAAGAATGTTAGGATGTATACAAACTGATCTAGCAGTAGAAATGAAAGGAGGGGACTAAGGGAAAGAAGAGAGGGATACGTGCAACAGGTAGCATTAGTTTGCTATTTCTGTTTTTTCCTTCTGCTTTTCCTTTCAACTTATAAGTAAATGAGGTAGTTCATAAGCTTAAAATGTAGAGTCATGGTTAGAAAAAGGTGAAAATGTAATGTTTATTTATCTTAGGATATAAGCAACACAAAATTAAATAGCTGTAGCCATAAGCTAAAATTGCTTAGATCAGAGGAAAATGAATGAAAATTATTGAAATAATTCAAATTTATGAGAGATTTGTTGCTTGTAGTTACCAACAGGGTTGTAAATGTAAACATAATAAAAGTTGATGAAATTCAACATATAAGTATATAAGTTGTCTCATAATATTTGTTTTTTACCTTTGGTCTATTCAAATAAGAATTCAAAAAAGAACTACACATGCTATTTAGTTATATCTCTTCAGTCTCTTTTTAAATCCAAAATTCCCTCTACTTTTTTTCCAGTTTATTTATGCCTCCATCTACTCCATTCGCAATATATGACCTTGGCATTAGATCAGACCTTCATAATCTCTTGCCTAGCCTGTTGCAGTAATCTCTTAACCAGTTTGCCTCTAGTTTCTTCTCTCTAGTTAACATTCTCATTGCCTCGGGAGTCATTTTTCTAAACATCACAGGACATAGACACTTTCTAAAATGTGCATCTGATCATCTCTTCAGGATAAATGCCAAGCAACATTTTCCTTGTTAAATGAAGCTTTTAATGATCTGTCACATGTGTGCCTCTCCAGCCTGATTTTCTGTCTCTTAAGATTTCCTGTTAGTTTCATTAGTGCCAAACTTTCATTCCCTGAATGTCCTATCATATTTCCTATAAACTGATGAAAACCTAAACTCTTGAGTAGATTGGGATTTTTTTCCCCCCAGGGAGCAAAAATGCTTTGTGTATGGTGGGGGTGTTCATTTCCTCTTTTACCATATAATTCTCATGTCAGATTTTCTCCCTCTTTGTGATAAGATATCATTCAGGTACTGTTATTCTGATCCGTTAATCATAAAGTTGCCCAGATAGATTTTTAACTGTAGGGTTTTAGTAGTTCTTGATAATTATTCCCTAGACCCATTATTTCATTAGGATTGCAAAGGTATATTTAAGTGGAATCCTTTTCAAAGGAAGAACTTTTTCCTCATAAACTGTTTAGTTCCACAATATATAGGAAAGTCAAAATAATTGTTTGATTATTTTCTTTATTTTACCAGTTTTCAAAATAATACATTGGTTCCATAGCACCGATCAAAGGGGACCAGTGAGGTTTAATTTTTTTTTTTTTTTTAGTATCATCATGAACTCATGGATTTAAAAATATTTTTGTTTCAGTGCTTTACAGATACTATCCTTTTTGATGTTCAGATTGTCCCATCTTTGGTTAGTGGGAGTCCTTTGATACCACTCCAGTAGTCTTTGATAGCTTTCTAGCTTCCTGTTTCCTTGTATAATAACAAGGTGTTCCAGGGTCCTTTTGTACTTACTGCCCTGGGCCTAGAATCAGCCATTTTTTCCAGGAGTCCTTGTCCTTTTTTTTTTCATAGGAAATTGTGTTATTCTGGGTACAAGGGGTACTCATTGCTCCTGAGTTGGTTACCGTTTCTATACCTTTTCAGTAGATAAAGTTAGAAATTATTTTTTTTAATAGAAAAAATTTTCCTGATATTTCTGATTAAAATTTAGGACTTCACAAAGTTTTAACTTCTTTGATTTTATATTTGTTTCTCCCATGCCGAAAATCTTAGTTCCAAATGACATTAACATAATAATTTGCTTAATCTTATATATACTAATTTCAGAATAGCAATATCAGATTAATACTAATAAGATTACTGAAAATAGTTTACGATTTTTCATTTCTTTTGTCCTTAGAATATATTCCATTAAGGGTATATAGTTTTATTACTATGTTTTAAAATCATTTGCTGTAGCTTTTCCCCATGTGGTTAAACTGCCATCTTAATACACAGCTAGATTCATTTGTTTTATTTTTAGGGATTCTTTTTAAAAATTTAATTCTGTTTTATCATTTACATGTCTCCAAGCTCAAATTCAAATCTACAAGGCAAGGTCCATTCAGAAAAGTTTAGCTTTCGCGCCTGTCCCCTTTTCCTGTTCTCTCCCTCTTCCTATAAGTAGTGATTTTTCTTAGTTTTGGTTTATCCTTCCTTTTCTAAAATATAAGTACATGTACATATAAATATCTATATATGTTATGTATGCATATAAGTAAATTTGTATTTTCTCCTTTCCTAGATAAAAGGTACCTTAGTATACACAGTTATTTACCTTGTTCTTTAACTTGACAGTATATCTTCCAGATCACTCTTAGCAATATGTAGACATCACTCATTTTTTTTTACAGCTGCTTAGTGCTTCATTATGAGGATGTAGCATAGTGCATTCAATTAGTCTTGCTATACAAGACTGCAGTCAGTCTTTTGCTAATTCTGCTAGCCGCGCCATATGCGTGTGTGTTTATTGTTTTGCCAGTTTATCTTTGGGATAAAGCCCTACAAGTGGGCACGCTGAGTCATAGGTTTAATGAGTGTGTCATATGGCTAGCTATTACATTTTCCTCCATAGGATTTGTACCATTATTTTTGCATTTCCAGAAATGCAAATACTTTTACATTCAATGATTCAGTGATCCTCTAAGATGTAGAGAGATGAATTAGAAGTATATAGGATAGAAGAACGTATCATAAAATAGTTACTGATAAAATGTCAAAGTTTGATAAAAACCCTCTTTGTTACCTTAAGGTGAATTGATTATAGTAATAATCTATATAGTAAACTATATTCAAGTGAAAATGAAATATTCAGGGTTAGATATTTGCTTGGTGTATGTGTGTGTGAATTATGAATAAGTAGTGAAAAATATTCTCTTAGATAAAAAATAATAAATTATAATTGAGTATTTAACACTTTAAATTCCTTGTTAATGGATTTGGCATAATGAAATATTTGGGGTGGAAAATCAAGAACTAGTTTCATTTTGAGGACTGAAATTATTTGCTACAATAAAGAAAACATTGATTGGATTTGAAATTTGGCATTTGTACACCTAGTAGTTACAGCTTTGATTGTCCATATATATCCTTGAAGGTCTGTGACGTGATCTTTAATTTTGAGAGAATTTGTAAATATTTAGTCCGCTCTCTTCTTTCTCAATGTTATGGCAGCCTTTGTTCTCTACTTATCTTATTTTTAACACTTTTTATTAAGGGTATGAGAAAATTTTTCAGTTTAATGAATGAGTTTTTTATATATTATATAATGAAGAGATTTAGTGCTACATTGGTGCTTGCATTTGGGAATTTTGGGAAGCTCTGGGAAGATATTACTCATGCTTATCCAAGTACTGTTGTAGGAAGGAAAAAATTGGAAAGAGGTTGGGTTCAGATAATAAAAGACCTTGATTTTTGAGCTTTTAAGTTTGTACTTTATTCCGTAGACAGTAGGAAATCAGCAAAGGAGCTACAAGATTTCTTTTAGATTCTTCAAGTGAAAACTTAAGAATCTCTTAGATTCTTAAGATTCTTAAGTGGTACACTTTTTAGTTTTAGTGTAAACTCTGATGTAATTGAGTAGTTATGTGAAATATTTTTTTGCATATGGAGAAACTGAAACATACAACTTATTGTTAATGGCTGACTGTGATAACAAATGTTTATTGAGGCCATACTATTGCCAGATACATAGCACACTGCTAAGTATTTTATGTGGATTGTCTCCCTTAATCCTCACAGAAGCCTGGAGAACGGAGGGAATGTTACCCCCATTCTCATCCCGTCAGAGGAGAAATTTAAGGCTTAGAGAAATGTAATACGTTATCCTGGATTGGATTCTGGGCCTACAAAGGACATTGTTGGGACAATCAGTGAAATTTGATTGGGGCCTGTCGATTGGATGGTAATATTGATCAACATTAGCTTCCTGATTTTGATGATGGTTTGTGGTTAGATAGGAGAATGTCCTTGTACTTAGGATATATACACGAGATATTGAGGGATAATGGGCATCATGTCTGAAACCTATTAAATGGTTCCAAAATGTTAACAGTTACATAATCTGGGTGAAAGATACATAAGAGCTCTGTAATTCTTAGTAAATTTGAAATTATTTGAAAATACAAAAGAGGAAAAATACACTGATTCACCCAAAGTCATGTAGCCAGTATGAGACAGAACAGAACAGATAGTTGAACTTAGGTCTGTCTCATTCTAAATACTGGGGGTGCCAAAAAAATGTGTACACATGATTTGTATTCGTCTTTTGATATTGGTATATATTGAGTACTACAATTTTAATACAGTTTTTTCCTTTCTTAAAATGTGTATACATTTTTTGGCACCCTCTGTGTCTATATTTTATTGCCTCTTCTACTTATTCTAACCAATATCACATATGATAACCAAGTTAAAAATATCAAGCAAATTTTTATTCATTCCTCATTGTTATTTATTAATTGATTCGCTTTAACAATATTAGCTGTTACTTTCAAGTTTATTCCAAATCACATTATTTGCCTTTTATAGTATTTCTACTCTGAGGTCACTTAATAAATGTTAAATGATTGCAGTTTTTTTATTTGCTCTCTCTTTTATTGTAAGTTTTTACATTATAATGAATTATTAAACATTTTATAATTATACGTTTTCATTTAATTTTAAATGGCTTATCTCAAAATAATTGCATGCTTTTTGTTTTAACATAGGTTATCTTATGATGAGGCTTTTGCTATGGCTAATGACCCCTTGGAAGGCTTCCATGAAGTAAATCTTGCTTCACCTACTTCTCCGGACCTTCTCAGCGTGTATGAATCGGGAACTCAAGAACAGACTACCTCACCAGGTGTCATCTACCGGCCGCACCCTTCAGCATTAAGCTCTGCCCCCATCCAGGCTAATGCCTTGGATGTCTCCGACCTTCCTACACAACCTGTGTATTCATCCCCCAGACGTTTAAACTGTTCAGAAATATCTAGTGTCAGGTAAGAGATCATCAAAATGCTTATTTTGTAGTATCATATTAAACAAATGGACAGTTTGCTTGGTTATCTTATTTTAAGTTTTAATGTTTTAGAAAATTTGAATAATGTAAGTTTGCCCATGAAGAGCAATACATGTTAATGTTCAGCAGCAGGGGTCAGCAAACTTTTTATGTAAAGGACCAGATAGTAAATATTTTAGGCTTTGCAGGCCATACAGTTTCTGTGCAACTATTAACTTTACTGTTAAAAGTGCAAAAGCAGCCATAGACAGTACGTAAATGAATAAGCTCTAATAAGACCTTACATATGGACACTGAGTTTTGAATTTCATATCATTTTCTCATGCCGCCAAATATTATTTTGATTTTTCATAACCATTCGAAATGTAAAAGTAATCCTTGGCTTCTGGGCCTTATAAAAACAGGTGGCAGGCTGAATTTAGCCTGCATTTAGTTTGCTGACCCCATTCTAGAGTAGTTCCATCCAGTAGAACTTTCTATGATGATGAAAATGTTCTATTTTGTCCTAATAGGGTAGCCATTAGCCACATGTGGCTATTATGGACTGAAAAATACATTAGCATTGACTGAGGACATGCTATTAATTAAATATAGTAGCCACCAAGTTGGATAGAGCTGTATGTTTATGCCCTGAATATTTTAGACCTGTATGTTTATGCCAGTTATATTTGAGCATATCATGATGTTTTCTGAACTCTCCTTTACAGCATCCATGTTACAGACCCAACACCTTGTTCTACCTCTGGAGTAACAGCTGGGTTAACGAAATTAACTTCGAAAAAGGACAACTGTAGTGCAGAGAGGGAATTTCTGCAGGGTGCTACTGTAACGGAGGCTTGTGATGGCAATGATGATATTTTCGGGTTGAGTACTGATAGTCTGTCCCGTTTACGAAGCCCATCTGTTTTGGAAGTGAGAGAAAAGGGCTATGAAAGATTAAAAGAAGAACTTGCAAAAGCTCAGAGGGTAAGCAAAAAACTATTTTATTCTTCCATATGTTATATTTGAAATTAACATTTTCCTATGGAGTGGGGTAACTCAGATGAAATCATTAGAGTTGCACGCTTATCCTTCACATGTCCACAGCCTCAGCTCCTGTTGGGCAGCATTTAGGAATCTGTGAAATTTATGGAGTAGTAAAGAAGCTCATCTAAGACTATTAAGTGGAAAAATGAGATTCTGCAGCTCTTTTTGTGTCCCCTACATTGCATGCTGTCTGTCTTGCATTATGTGTAATGCGGATTTGGTGGGTTATGGTCCCTGTGTGGGTTTGTCCCTTCGTATATGTGGTTGACTTGATGGCCCTTTACTTGAAGTCATTCAATTCAAGTAATTTTGTTTTGAGGAATGTTTTAGTAATATTACCTTCGTCATGTAGTTGGGTTTGAATATTTTTCGTGTCTTGCCTTGGAGAATTTTCATTGCTTGGTAATTTGTTCTATTTCCCACTTGGTCATCTTTAAAATTTCTATTTATCTTTATATTTTGTGGCCCTATCATTTTTTTTCTGAGACTGTAACTTCAGAGGGGAATTTATAGCACTAAATCTTTATAAATAGAAAAAATGAAAAGTCTCCAAACAACAATCTAAGGTCTCACTTTAAGAATGTAGAGGAAAATAGCAAAATAAAAACCAGAGTAAGCTGAAGGAAGGAAGTAATAAGCAGAAATTAATGAAACTGATAACAGAAAAACTAGAGAAAATGAATGAAACAAAGTGCTGATTCTTTAAAAAAATCAATAAAATTGACAAACCTTTAGCAAGACTGACAAAGAAAAAAATGACAGAAGACATAGATTATATTCAGTAGCAGGAATGAAACAGGATATCACTACAGAGCCTGCAGGCATCAAAAGTACAATAAAGGAATAATATGAACTGCTCAATATACATTTGACAACTTAGGTGAAATGGACCAATTCACATATAGATACTTGAGAAGATAGGACAGACATTCTATAGGTATAATTTTCTGCATATTATGACATATCATGAACATATGTTTCCTCCCTCTCCCTACTAGATTTGTCTCTCAAGAATATAACATTGATTTGTGTATCCCCAGTGCCTGGTATAATGTGGTACAATGCCTGGCATATGTATTCTTTATAAATACTTCAATGAATGGCTCATGGTTCAACAGCCATGCAGATATGTTAAAACATTTTTGGTTAAATATATTTTATCAAAAAGAAAAATCAATAGCCTTTTTTATCTTTTCCAAAAGACAAGGGGTGTGCTGAGATGTAATTGTATTTGGCTTCTGCCATCTGGCTCAGACTCTGTTGTCTTAATACACAGTATTAAGTGAAATCACAGTTTATAAAGAGGTAAACTATTGAAAAAAAAATGTATTTATGTATTTGAGAGTACATTGTAGTTACTTATTGATTAGAACAGATTGCTAATTTCTTAGCTCAAATTGGGAATATCATTTGAAATCTTTAATTTGTGTATTTAGAGGTACTTTTGAGGTTATTGAAATAATTACATGCGAACACATATGTATGGTGAATTTTATTATGAAGAGTACAAGATAATGTTAATACTTACTTAGAGCTCAAGGCTTGAAAAGGACTTTTGAATATGAAAATATTTCCTGAATTATGGCAATTTGTGAATCAAAATTAAGTCAACAGCCATTCTCTTTATTCTGATTATTCCTTTGAGAGGCCAGATAGTTATCATTTTTCTATCCTTTTACTTTTAACCTATTTTTGTCTTCCCATGTAAAGTGGGCTTCTTGTAGTCAGCATACTGTTAGGTGTTGTCTATTTAGCCTTTCTAATAACCTGCTGTTTAACTGGTGTGTTTAGACCATTTATATTTAATATGATATTGATATGGTTTGGTTTAAATCTACCATCTACTATTTGTTTTCTCTTTGACCCATCTGTTCTTATTTCCCCCTTTCCCTATTTTTAAGCCTCCTTTTAGATTAATTCTGTATTCTGTATGATTTCATCTTATCACCTTTGGCTTATTAGCTATATATGTTGTGCTAATTTAGTGATTGTTTTTGGGTTTATAGTATACATCTTTAACTTATTATTGTGTAGTTTCTAATAATATTATACTATCTCACATATAGTATAAATACCTTATAAAAGTGTACTTCTATCTTTCCTCTCTTAGCCTTTGTGCTGTGATTGTCAGACATTTTCCTTCTTCATAATTTTTAAACTCCACAATGCATTGTTACTGTTTTTGCATTAAACAGTTGATTATCTTTTAAAGGGATTTAAATAACAAAGAATCTTTATCTTTATTCCTGTAGCTACAATTTCCAGGGCTCTTCATTCTTTCATGTAGATCCAGATTTCCATCTGATACCTTTTTTGTT